GGGGGGGGGGGGGGGGTTGTGTGGGGTCATTCTCCGTATGCCCGGCGGCTTTGACATTCCGTATACCCGGCGGTCGTAAAAAACGTGGTGCCCGGCGGCTTGGATTTTGGGAATACAGTGGTGAAAAGAAGTCGGTTAAGATAATCCAACGTGTGCGGAAAGCAGCAAAATCCATTAGTGATACTCCGGCATGAAAACAGCGCCCCAGTGACGGGGATCACACCCTGCACCCAAGTGGGACGGCAGAGCGGCACACACTTTGACATTGTGTTTTCAGTTAACTCAATTCCCCGAGAAAAGGAATGGCTCAACGGCAAGGTGAAGCGTCCGATCACTTGAAGGTGTTTGAAAAAAGTGTTTCTCGTGATGCATGACTGCAGAAAATTAGTTACTGATTACTTAGCAGACCGAATTAACGCCGTGCATGGAAACCTGGTTTGGGGGACGTATCATGAAAACCACCATGAAAGCAAAAAAGAGAGTAGAACAGCTTGGACAACAGTTGATCGCAGGTACGTTTGCACCCAGGTGGGGGGTGTCTTCGTTGGCCGGAGACCCCCACCTGGCTCCGGCCCCCTGCGTGTAAAAACTCTTGGAAACAGAGTGTGACACACACACATGCACACACTTAGTCATAGGGTTTTCAGTGAACTCAGTTCCACGAGGAAATGGATGAGGGAAACGAAAGGTGAAGCGGTCAGCGCAACTGAATTGTTGAACAATCTGTTCACTTGTTTGCAGACATGCGGTTGAACGACGGCTGCTGAAAGCGGCTGAGGGAAACTGGTTTTGGGATGTTTTGGGGGATAGCATGCAAAAACCATGAAACCAAAAAACAGCGGCGGAGATTGGAGTGTTGTCAAATCGCAGGTACAGGTGGATGATCAGTCCACCCTTCCCTCGTCATACCGTAGCTTCGTTGCGTACGGTGGGTATGACGAGCCGTACGCCCCTGCGAACATAGAACTCTTCGAAGCAGAGGGTGACACAAACACACACACACATGGGATTTTTTCCTCAATGTTCAATCGTTTTTTTGCAGTAATTTAACATGGGATCGCGCTCTCTCTCTCTCTCTGTCTTTCTATCTCTTTTTGCATGTTCAACCGGCAGTTGAATGGAGAAACTTTGGCATTGAGAACAACATCCTCAAGCTTTGTCGGGGACGTGGCTGAACTTGGGTTCCTCCAAGCCAACATGAGTCATGTCTGTTCAATCCGATTAGGGCCTTCTTGGGTTAGGGTCTAAATTGCCAGGGCTCCCATTGGGTCTCATGATCAGACAGACCTCGGGACGGAGCCAGGTGCCACTGATCCCCGGGCCTCAGCCACCCCGTGAGGCACAGAACGGAGCTGGGCACTGAACTAACTTGTTTGTTCCAAGTGAAGAGTTTGGATGTGATGTCACAGATGAACGGAGCGGCCATCGTGACACTCTGATGATTCGGATTCCGAACGCGCGGGATTTTTTTCTCTTTTTCTCACGGAGGACGAAGGCTCATTTCGTGTCAATGCTTTTCGTGAAGGTAAGAGCAGTAGTATAGTTGTGTCAAACCGCTCGCATCGGGAGAGTGAAAAGCACCGTGGTTCAGGGGCCCTTGAATCAGCTGTCTGGGCCCTGTTTTGACTTCGGGAGAGCGACAAGATCGTGTCTATAAAGATGAAGGGACAGGGATGGGCGAACACCAGAGTTGATTGTTGATTAATCAAATCCTCCTGCATCCCCCCTACCATGTTCTTCTTTCCCTCACAAGGCCTCGGTTGCCCTTGTTGCCTTTGTTGCTCTTGTTGCTTCAAGTGCCTTTGTTGCCCCTGTCGCCCCGGTGGTTTTACATCTCCATATGGAGGTTCTTATTCCACCATCGCGCACGAATCGAGATCCAACGAGCGCTACCAGACCCTCTCTGGAGTCCGGCAAAGGGTGAACAAAGAAAAGAGGGGCATGCACCGAATTGGCACCTAGAGGATTGAGTCCCACGTGGAAAGACTCCGGCCAGCACCCTCATCGAAAAGGCGAACCAGGTGGAAACGTTCATCGTCCGACATGAACGCCTCACACCCAACGAAGACTCCTTTCGGGAGTTCTCTGCCACAACATTTGTTCCGCTTGGTGTCAAGATCGCATGGGAACGGTTGGGTATCAGTAGACCGGGTCAAATGTTTGAGCATAGTTCTGAACACAGTGATCAAGTGACTGTACCTGCTCGTCTTTGGGGCAAGTTGGCTGTGGGATCCACCACGCCACCAAAACAGGCACGCCAATTCCACAGTGGAAAAACTGCACTCGTCGTCAATTTTCCAGCGAAGCTTATCAAAGAAAGATCGGAAAGAAATCCAGTCTTCCAACTCAAACTGCCATGAGGAGGGACAGGGTAGTCCCTTTGGGATCTTGGGCTTCCACGGGTAATCCACAAGCAATGATGTCCACGACCAGGTAGGAAATCTTTTGACAACGTCTTCAATGGAATTGACCCTAGGAGGCTCACTATTGCTCTCATCGAGGCGCTTCGACGGAGGTGGTTGCTTCATTTCGAGCACCCAATTGACAAGAACAAGCCATTCCTGGCGGTTCAGAACGGCTTTTTCCGACATGGATTGTTTGTCGGGGTGGATCGCTGAGTCTGCAGTGGCTGCAGCCTTCGCAAATTTGTCCGCTTGTCGGTTGTTGGTGATGTCCACGACAGTGGAGCCATGCTCTTTTGCCTGCTTCTCGGTAAGGAGGAATGTGGGACACTCCTCCAACACATGGCTTGGAACCCAAGACACTTGTATGGGATGTAGGTGTACCAACAGTCGGTTGCGGAGAATTGTCAAGATCTCGGACCACCATGGTTGGTGCGACCACTTGGCATTGACTTCCAATGTAGTGGAAAGTTCGGTGAACTGGTCGACAATCGTGAGGCAGTCCGTCCGGATTTCGACAAGACCCAAGGCCAACTTTATGGCCCTTAACAGCGCAAACAACTCCGTGGTATAGGCATAAAGTTCCCAATGTCGGACTGGACCGCTTTCAACAACTTCAGCATTCTCAGCGATAACAGCATACCCCCCAGCTGCAAGCCAAAAGTATGAGTTCCACTGTACTGAGCCATCAGTCCAGAAAATTGATGTCACGTTGGGGTCGAAGGCGATCACAGGAGCACCTGTTGAGGTGACCCTCAATCTCTGCAAAGCAACTTGGCGAGGATGGGCACACAACCCAAATTGGGTAAAGTTCTCTCCAAGCTCATGGCTAGCAGGTCGAGGGAGAACTGATTCGACACCTGGGCATTCGTGGACAAGGTGTTCCCACGATTCTTTTTGGGCTTCGCACATGCGGCACTGCGGACTATTGACTAGACCAGCCCGGAACAATCTATCATTTGTAAGATTGCACCCGACACGCACTGAGTCGAAAAACGCTTTGATGGGAAAAGGAGACTCAAAGGAAAGTTTAGACCGCCGAGTGAAAATGTCAGACAAATCGGGGTCAAAGATTCCTGAACACTTTTGAATGTCTTTGCGATTATTCGAAACAGCGGCGCAATAGCATTGCTGGATGGCGAAGTATTGCAACGGTTTGGCAAAATCTTTGGGGTTGACCTCATACAAGCAAATACTCTGGGATCCCCGAAACGAAACATGGAGATTGGGCTCGAGCTTCAAACCAAGAATGCCAAGGCAAGTCTGTATCTGCCACAAGAGAGATTCATGGGGCCACTGATGACTTGCCTGAAGGGCGCAGCACGTTGGAATCGAAGCAGGGTATTGGTTCAAGAACCGAACAAAGTCAAGGATGGCACTATAGGCTCTTGCAATACGGGGTTCAGTGCGGTGTGGCAACCCCAGAAGGCCCAAGACCAACATGCGTGATCTCCAGTGTGGCCGGTTGGCCCACAAAACATTGACGATTTCATTCTGTGTTTTCCAAATGACCCTTTGGGGAATCTTGGTGATGGCCGCACCATATGTAACTTGGGGTACCACTTTACAAGCAATCAATTTAACTTTGGATGACGTATTAAGTGGAAGTGCAGAAATGTTGCGAACATCGTTGACAAGTTTCTCAGTCTTCCGATCATCGAAGGCGAAAGACTTCACCTTGCTTACATAGACTTTAACTCCAAGAACATCAATGGTGTCGGCAATGGGAACATTCGGAAACTTACTGGTGACACGGGCTTTTTGTGTGGTATCGGACGTCCAAAGTTGGCATTTCCCCGGATTGGATGCTTGCCCAATAAGGGAGTCCCAAAAGTTTGTGACTTCAAATGCTTGGACCAAGCTTTCAAGTTTCAGGATCGATGCCCACAGGTAAGCGTCATCGATGAACGCTTTGGCCGTGATGTGAGGAATGAGGTTCATGAAAATGGCCCACACCGCCATCATGAGGTTAACTGCAATGAGGGATAGTGAACACCCTTGTGCCACTCCATTACACGCGGTAGTCGGGGTGGGGGAAATCCATCCCCTCAGAGCGAGGTGCCGCTTAAGGTGGGTGTACATCTGCACAAAGAAATGGACAACCCCACGCGGGGCACCAAAGGCCATCATCAAGGCGCCCGCGACGGCCGGGATAATTCTGTCAAAGCATTTTGATTTGTCTAGTTTGAGACCGACGAGGGTATCCCCATTCTGATGAGCAACATCGAGTTCCAAACGCAAAGTGGTGTGAACGGCAGACATGGTACGGCCTCTAATAGCACCACAAAGGTTTTTAGGGATGACCTGGTTCTGCCAATTTTGAAGCTGCCTAAATCTGAGACCAGTATAGCTGAGAAGAAGGACCGGCAACAAAGTGATGAGTCTCTTTTGCATCGGTGATGGGTCACCGTTTTTGTTCAAGACCATTTGCTTTGCGATGGTCAACACTTTTGGTAGTTCCGAGAGATTTTGCTCAATTTCATTGAAGACAGTAGCAAATGGAACGAAAGCAAACCAAGGTAAGATCTGGAGTTCAGCTGTTCGCCAGCCATCCAACCCCGGTGCGGCTTCTTTCTTCCGCCTCTGGATTTGCTTGTGAAGATCATGGGCCGTAATGCTGGGAACTTCCGCGTTCCTTGAGAAGTCAGCAACATAGGGCCAAACCACCCGCAGGATAGTATGGGGGTCTTCATGAAGCGCATTTGCCCCAAAGACTGTGTCCCATTGGTTATTGAACTCAGCAAGGGCGTCTAATGGTTGGTAGAGGACGTTACCAGAACCGTCGGTGATAAGGTTGGGGGGTTCTTCGGATGCCTTGTTCTTCAAGTGTTGAAACACAAATTTCTTGTCGGACACATTGGATGCTTTGATGCGATCCCGCCACTGCTGGATCCGAAATTTGCGAACCTCAGTGGTGGTAGATAACAATTTCTGGTGCACCCACTCCAGGCATGCATAGGTGGAATCCAACGTGGGGAGTGTGCCTCTGGCCCACAGGTAAGGGCACTCCCACTGAAGCAATTGTTTGGCAACTCTGTGTATGGTTCCCGGCAAGGTGAGTGCATCGGCCGGTGAATGAACTGGTCTGGACAAACGAACATAAACCTCGCGAAGGAGGTTCAATGTTTTCGAGATCTTCCTGAGTTTAAGTGAGAGGGCGTCACCGTGGCATGTCTGGCCTGGAGAAATCCTGGTTTCCTTGAACTTAGGGGGTTTTCCTCTAACATGCGGACCTTTATCCCATGTGGCCCCATTGGCAGACAGGACTTGAACCAGGAACTGGTTGGCAACGTCCCACTTGGAGTCAACGTCAGGTGCGCCATCAAACCGGGATTCAAAACCATTGGTCCAAATCTGAACTGCATTGTCATGGCACGGACACAGAGGGTCAGATGGATCAGGTCTCGAACACTGCTCCAAGTTGAAGGGGGCAGTCTTAACCAGTGTGAAGCCCACCTGGGTAATTGACTCCCACGAAAAGGAAGCCCTGATGGGTCTGTGTTGGACCTTGTGCAAAGGAAGGACTTCAATGCTTCTAAGAGCAGAGAATGCTACATGGTTGCAAATGATCCCATCAATGGAAGTGCAATGGTCCCCAAGGCCTGAAAAGAGACCGTCATTGGAGAACGTGAGTGGTCGGTACAAATCCCCATTACTATCGGTCGTAGAGAGAGGATCAAACCACGAGTGATTATTGATGGCCCCGGAAAGGCTCTTGTAATGCATTGGATTCAGTTGCAAGTCCCCGCAGATGAGGATGGGCACAGAACCAAACTGAGCACAACATTCCAAAATGCAGGAAAACAGTGCATCGTTTTCAGCGTACACCTCAGGAAATTTGGATGCTGCAGTTCTTGCATAAACCGAGAACACAAGCAATTTGGTGACAGGGGTAACCTGGGCCCACACCGCAACAACTCTTTTTGTCTCGAACAGCTTCTGGTAAAGCGGACATGATTTGGGGTCAAGGGGGGACACAAGCTCTTGGCTGGCCAAAATGGCCGTCCCACCCCACCCAGACTTGAGAACACCGTTGGATTGGAGGATGCCCGGTAGCAGCTCACCGGCAAAGAGGTGTTTCCCCTTGGATTCCACGTCTTTGCGGGCGGACCTGTAATTGTTTTTGCCAATTCTAGTCTCTTGAATGCAAATGATGTCATCCGGTGAAGAAGACCAAAAAGTGTTGGTTTTCAGGGATCCAATGTT